CCCCCCCCAGCTGTGGCCCCTGGTTCTTCACACGTACCCTGTCAGGCTGTAGGAGTTGAACTCACTCTTGACTTTGGGTGATTGACCAGGCCTTGGAGAGCTCCTAGTGGCAAGAGGCTGGGCCTGGTAGGCATCATAGTAGCTGGAGCGATTTCCCTGGGATAGGCAGGAAAAACAGAGGATGATTCCAGATATCAGGGAGAACAGGGAGGAAATAATGCCCAAATAAAGAGCCTCTCCAATCTCAAATTTCATGCTGTCAGGCACCAGTGGGGAATAGAAGTCCTTCAGGATCCCGTGAAGATTCCAGGCAACAGGGATGAAGCCCAGGAGGCCTCCAAGGATGAAGAAGACTCCGCCTACTACCGCCACTCTGTCTTTGGCTCGGGATTCCTGGCAGAAGACTGTGCATCTCATGCCCACCACAGAGATAATGCAGGCCAGTGAGGACAGTGCACTGGACGTCACCATCATGGCCTGGGCAGCTTGGATGTCAGCAGGCAGGCCGAGAAGAGTGCTGTAGATGTCACACTGGGTGATGCCTGTGCTGTGTGTGGCACACTCCATCCAGAGGCCCTTGGAGAAGCCAACTGCTGTCACAATGCTAGCACCAACATAAGAACTTGTTCGCCAGCTGGGGAGCAGCATGGCAACCATCGTGCCCAACAGTCCCAGAAGGCCTAGGATGTAGCCCACAAGTTGGAGGCCAAGAGAGGCCATGGCAGACCTCTCAACAGAAGCGTCTTCAGGGCCTGCTCCCTCGCCTCCTTGCTGCAGCTCTTGCTCTTGGATCCCAGCCTCTAATCCCTCATGTCAGAGTACCTCTGCCAGGCTGACTTCTCTCCTCCTTACAAGTGTCTGTGGGCGGCCACAAGCAGGCTCAAGAAGGTATCTAGAAAACCTTAAAAAAATCCATAAACTAGATTAAATATTGACCAGAAGCTTATGAGAAACCAGAAAATGCTGGATGCCTTTTGACCTTTGTTATCTTTAGAAATAACACTTGAGAAAGGAAAAAAAAAAAACAACTTTGAAAGTGGAGCCAACATGTCATCTCCTCCTGCGTAGGCACATGCCTAAGGTTGGCAGCCAGACAAAGCCAGGGGCCAGACAGGTAGCTGTTTTCCGAGAAGGTGGTGATGGCAGTGGTGGTTGTGGGCAGGAAAATCCTGGGATGGGCAGGTTAACTCCCCTGTTAACTCCACTGCTACTCTCCAAGGCCTGCTGTTTAACACATTGCCAAGCAAAAGCACTGCAGGGCCCCTCCATTATAGACTGAGGCCAAACTCCAGGGGACTGGATCAGGAAGAACAGGTCCTACAATATAGCTTTGAACTCCAGCTTGTTAGAGGCCTCTTGAATCTCCAAGGGCCTAGAAAGTAGTGGTCTATCCCTGGATCATCCTGCCCATGGTGATAATCAACTCCAAGACCAATTGGGATAGGCCACAAAGCCTTCTGTCCACACTATGTGAGTTCAGGTCCTCCTAGCCCTGCTCAAATCCCTTTCTCAGGCTAGGCTAACGCCTCCTGCATGTATAACACACCACTTCCTGTCTGGCCTCTTAATTGATGCCCCCCAGCCCTAATAGATGCCCATCATCAGCCTCTCAGGACTCTGGAGAAAAGGTTGTCCCGGGTCTGGAGTGAGCTCCCAAAATTTTCTGGGCTATCTGTTAGGGGCACTAGAGTAGACAGAGGAAAGGGAAGCTGCTCTAGAATAGAGGGCTTTGTAAGAGGCAGGCAACCAAGCCAGTCCTTTGGAATCTCAGAGCTGTATAGGATTATGCAGTGTTTAGGGAGCCCCCAGTCTTGCCAAGGTTCAGGACATTAAAGGTCAAGGGCACAACCTTCTCCCCATTCTCTACAAGACCCTCCAGCCCACTAGTTTTTCAACCCATCATAATCTGGCTATTCCATTTTAGCCTTCTTTAAGATTTCTCTTTCCCTACTCATCTCTTTAATGTGAGAATTCCTTAAAAGTCCATCCTTTTCTCAATGAACACTCTGTCCCTGAACAAACTCATCCACCCCCATGACTTAACCAAGTGTCCATCCACTGCACTCCCAAATCTGTATTTCCAGCATAGACCCTCCTGAGCTTCAAGACAGGCAGAGCAATCACCTAGTCAAAACATCCACATGGAAATCTCATAGGCACCACAAATTCCACATGTCCAAAAGAGAACTTATCACCTCCCCCACTGCACCTCTCCCCAAACAATTCTTCCCTCAGTTCCCTGTGGTCACTGAATGATTCCTCTATCCATCACCTTGCACCTGATCAAATCTCGGGAGTCATCCTTGATACCTTTTTCTCACTCATCCTATAGTCATTATGTCCTACCAATTCTAACTCTTGAATATACCTCAAATCCATGGCTCCCTTCTCTCCTTCTCCACTGCTAATTCCCTTGTTCAGGGCTTCATCATTGTCTCTCACCTGGACCATGGCAACAGCTTCCTAACTGGTCCAACTTCCCATCTTGCCTCCTCCAATTCATTTTCCACACCATTACCAAGGTGATCTTTCAACACATTAATCTCAAATCACTACTTTATATAAAGCATTCCAATGGCTCCTCATTAGCTAAAGGATAAAGTTCAAACTTGTTTGTACTCCATGACCTCTCAAGCTTCATCTCTTGCCATTTTCTTCCTTGTACTCTATACGCCTGCCGAACTAAATTACTTTCAGTTCCTCAGTCATGACATGTGGTCTTTTGCTTCCAAATCTGAGCACAGGCTGTTCTATGTGGAATGCCCTGCATTCTTTCCTCTGTTTAGTGCCTTCTCATGCTTTAAGATTCAACTCAGATGTTTCTTACTCTAGCCTGGGTCAAGTGCCTCTCCTCTGTCTTACACTATTCTGTGTTTACTTCCATAATAGTAATACCGATAACAATAATCATAGCTACACTTATATAGTTTCTTTTGCGACTATTATAAGCACTTTACACGTGTTAACTATAATCACAACATTTTGTGGGAGGTACTAATAATCACTACTGTACAGGTGAGGAAACTGAGGTAGAGACAGTACTTTTTGCAGTGTATTGCAATTTCTTACTTAAATCCTTATTCTTCCCCGCTAGTCTGTGAGCTACTTGAGGGCAGAGACTGTATCTTAGTTATCTCTGTATTTCATGTGCCGTGCACAGTGCTATCTTTATCCAGAGCAGGTGTTCGGAAAATGTCTTCTTAATTAATGAATAAAAGTGGTAAAGAGGTTTGAGGGGCTTATATGACTATGAAATAGGGACTTTCTAAATAAGTAAATGATACTTCAGTATAAGGGTCATGGAAGTGCTGCCCGATGTTGGGAAAGATAGAGAGAGGGAGGGATGGAGGATCAGAGGAAAAGGGATAAATAGGGAGAGAGAGAGAGAGAGAGAAAGAGAGAGGAACAGAGACAGACAACAGTGTTTCACCAGTGTATATACATGTACATATACATACATGTACATACACACATACATATATACGTGGGTACTTAAAAAGTTCATGGAAAGATAGAATTGAGAGATAATACAAATCTTTTCAGGAACTTTTTGAAGTACCCTTGTATACATATGCATATGTTGAATATCTTGTTTCTTCAACCAAATTCTAAGCAATTTGAGGGTGAAAAAACATAAATTAAACTGTTGTGCCTCTGCAGCACTGAGCACATGGTTGATAGTCAATACTATTCGTCAGCATCGGATGTGACAATGCCAATGTTGATGAAAAGCAGTGCAGGGCAAGAGCCTATAAACATTTGATAAGGGGTGAGGAGGGAGAGCCAGTGTGAGTCTCAGCTCTGTCACTTAGCTGTGACACTGAGCAAGTCCTTTTCGAGCACTTGTTTTCTTATTGCTAACCTGGGCACAACTGTGCCTATCCTAATCATGACTGCATCTCAGTGAGGGCTTCAGTGCTTCTTTTTTTTTTTTTTAAAAGATGACCGGTAAGGGGATCTTAACCCTTGACTTGGTGTTGTCAGCACCACGCTCAGCCAGTGAGTGAACCGGCCATCCCTATATGGGATCCGAACCCGGGGCCTTGGTGCCATCAGCACCGCACTCTCCCGAGTGAGCCACTGGGCCGGCCCTACAGCAAATTTAATTTAAACCTCATTTGGCTTTATTGTGATTCTACAGTCGGGAAACACTTCATACTATAAAATAGAATAAGTGTTCCAATGAACCAAGCAGAGGCGGTCCATCCCTATATGGGATCCGAACCCGGGGCCTTGGTGTTATCAGCACCGCACTCTACCGAGTGAGCCACGGGCCGGCCCGGCTTCAGTGCTTCTTGGCAATCCTTCTACTCTTCCCTGGTAGGCATCCTCCTAGTGACTGTTTCAAACATTTGCCACTGTTTTTGAGCTCCCTACCCCACCTCCTCCCTCTGCAGCTATTACCCTAACTTGATTGTTCTCTTTGCAGCCAAGATCTTTAAGCCATTTGATGTTGACATCTGTACTTCTTCACCTTCCCACACACTGCTCGGCCCTCTGCAATCTGGCTTCTGGCATTAGCCCTCCACTAAAACTGTTCCCACCAAGGTTATTGACTATTTCCTTGTTTCAAAACATAAAACTGTTTTCTCCCTTGTTATCTGTAGCACCATTCCCAGTTTTCCCTGCCCCTTAGAATGATTTTTCTAGGTCTCCTCTATAAGTTGTTTCTAAGTCTTCTTATAAGTTCCTCTTCTGCTCACTCTTTAAATCTGATTGTTCCCCCAGGGTTCATCTAAATTGACTCTTATTCATCACATTCTCCATGGGTGATCTCATCTGTTCCATCTCTACGCCAGTGACTCCTGAATCCATCCCTCTGCCTCTGAGTTCTCTCCTGAACTCAAGATTTGTTTATTCAACTGCATTTGGAATGGCCCCACCTGAATGTTTTAATGGCACCTCAAATTCAACATCTGCAAAGCTGAAATAATCTGCTTTTTTCTCTGCCTACCCTCAAACTACACCCCGTAGTGTTCTCTATCTCAGTGGGACCATATCCAATAACCCAAGCCAGTCATCCTTGATTCCTCATCTCTTCTGGACATATAATTAGTTATGAAGTCACATCAGATCTGCCTTCAAAAGATATCATGAATCCATTCACTTCTTTCCATCTCCACTGTCCAAAACTTAGTTCAAACCATGCAACCATCATCTCTTATCCATTTGAATAGGCAACTCAAATTGGTCTATCTAACTTCACTTCTGCCCTGCCCCTGTAATTAATTGTCCATCCAGTAGTCAAGGATCTTTTTAAAGTGGGAATCAAATCACAACTGTCCCCTCATCCTTTGCCATGCTTAAAAAACTTCAGGAGCTCTTAGTTGCTTTCAGGATAAAGTTCAAACTCCCTAGCCCAGGAAACCAGGAAAGCCCTCCATTGTCTGAAGCCTGCTTTTCTTCCCAGCCTCATCTCTCACCTCCAGACTCATGCTTTATGCTCCTACACACACACACACATGATCCAACCTTATCTGAGCACTTGTATTTCTCTGAATTTGCCTTTCTCTCTATTTCCAACCCCTTAATCATGTTATCCTATCATCCACCATTTGCTTGGCCAATTGCTTGGCCAATTGCTAGTCATCCTTCAGGACTCATCCTCTCCTTCAAACTGTCTCTGGGACCTTCACCTCTTTCCATCAAGTCTAAGTTAAATACTTTTCCTTCGTATCTCCTATCTATATCTGGGCTTTCAGTGAGAGTTGGTGAGCTGCCTTGAGGTTTTCAGGGGGAAGACCTCCTGCCTCCCAGAGGAGCAGCTTCTGTTTCAGCCTTCCTAGGATGGCAGCAGAAGAGCCAAGCTTGAGTTTCCCATGAGAATCAACAGTGTCCCTAAGAGGAGAGCCTCTCCCTAGAGAAAGTCCTGACTCAGCAGGAGTAAATAGGAAGGTATTTGGGGGCAGGGGGAAGACAGAGTCAAGAAAATGCCATCACTGAGGCTTGGAATCTCTAGAGAGTCTGACTTGGCATAGCTGGTCAGGAGGAAGAACAAATTGTTGGAGTTTATTTAAATAGGAGAAATGGCACCATGGGGGCTATTTTTCAGCCAAGGTAGGAAGACTGGGTAGACAAAATAGCAAGGGGCTGGGTGATGGGCCAGGCTAGATTCTGCTTTTATTTGTCTGATGAGCAATAGAGGTGATGGAAGATAGGGTTTAGATAAAGGGTCCTGGCCTGAGAATCAAAAGGCCTAGACTCTTGTCTTAGTTCTGCCTGGAACCTGTGAAGGAAGTTCCCTAACTTCTCTAGGCGCTAGTTTGCTCATCTTTAAGGCTTTGAGTCTCCAATAAGGTAATGAGGACAGGAAGCCATTCTGACAAATATAGAAAACTGAAAAGATGTTATTAAAAGCAGGCAGCTTTAAAAGAAACCTCTCTTTGAGGGATCCTCCTAGGAGCCAAGCACTGGCTGCTTTGGAGGTACAGAGAACTCTAGGCCTTGCCAGCTGAATTTGTCATCTGGGCATGGGGCCAACATACTCCATGGCCCAAGGGCTGGGCAAGAAGGTTTCACTTAGGATCCTTACTTAATCTTCCTTAGGGGAGGGATTGGAGCGGCAGGAGAGGATTAGGAGGGTAAGACTGACAGCCGCTCCTGACTTAACCCCTTCTTACCTGAGCACTCGCCCTGCTGTTCTCCTCATCTCTTCACTCCAAGGGTCTTGTGCATGGTGTCACAACTTTTGGGAGCACTCTCATAAGACTGAGTGAGACATGACACTTGGGGTTCTCAGGCTCAAGGAAGGGCCTGATGTGGCCTTCTTGGGGTGACAGAGGCCACCACAGCCCTCTTCTGTTAGTCTCATTGCTCCATCCCTTAATCTAACAGCCCCTCAGAATCTCCTCTCTGCCCCTCGCCCCCAGTTGCCAAGGGCTCTGGTAGTTGGCAAACCCATTCCTTTGAGGCCCTACTTTCTGGAAAGTTTGTCCTTGGAGCAGTTCATTTTTCTTTTTGCATCAGTTGATTGATGACTACTCAGGGAATTAAAACTGGATTTTCTAATTGTCTTTAAAAGGTTATTTTTGTCCTGATCATCACAGTAAAGCATTCTCACTTTAGAATGCTGGAAAACAGAGAAAAGCAGAATTTAGGAAACAAAAATGACCTACACTCTCCCCAGCTAGAAGTGCTGCTAATGTTTTGGCTCCAACTTTATTTTCAAAGAGGACACTGGAAGAGAATAATGCCTCAGTCCAAAGAAGGAATTTTCTAATGACAGACTTGCAGACAACTGGAAACCAGAGTCATTTAAGGGCTTGAAGAAGAGACTTTATGACTTCACTCAGGAATCCACCTTCAGCTACCTGCCTGAGCCTTCATACTGAGGAAGGCACTGGAAGCCCCTCACAGTTAGGCAGAGGGGTAAACTAGATCCTTTCCTACCATTTTTATCCCAGTCTTTTTGCCCCCCAAAACTCCAGCCAGAAATGATCTGATTTGGAGAGTGCTTCCTGTGGTCCCATAGCTTCAAAGACTGGTAGATTCAAGGAGACAAATACCACCAACCCAAGTGCCACCAGCATTTTCCCTCCCATACCCTTCACTCAGAAACCCAAGGTGGCCCAGCCTGGCTTCACCATAGGCTAACTTGATGGCAGCTAGGGAGGAAGAGTGTTCACCTAGGTGAATTCAGAAGGCAGCAACTAAATCCGGATTGAGATACTTACAGAGCAGTTCTTTTGCAGAGCCTTGGAGAAGAGATGTCCCTGGAGAGGGAGGAAAGGATCCTGAGGGAGGGGAGTGAGGTGCAAGGGGCCACAGGCTGAGGTGATAAAGGATTTCTAATTGTTAACCACAGCTTTGCAAAATCCATCTGCAAATCTGAGCCTTGGGTCAGAGACTTATTACAGATCAGAATTAAACCCCTGGAGGCTGGGAAAGATTGAGGTACATAAAAAAAAGTTTGGTGGGTTTTGTGTTTTTCATGTCAAAATCTCCAGCTGGGCTTTTGTGTGGTGACCTCTATGAGCCCAGGAGAAGCCTTGGGGGGAGGGGGGTTTGGCCCAAGGAGGAATTCAGAACATTCCAGCTTTGGGTGGTGAGAGGAGGGGGCTCTGTTACGCCCATTAGGTGTCCCTGGCTAGCGGCCCTGAGGCCCAGCAGGAATTAAGCCTCATAAATACAGCCCTGGTGAGCTGGTGCCCAAGCAGCCCTGCACTGCCTCCAGCCCGCCCACCCTTCTGCCCAGCTTGGCTCTCCAGCAAGCCCCAGCCCTACCCCGCCCCTAAGGTTAACCCCTAGGCTCAAGGACAAACACATGTATTGTAGATTCAGACTCTGCAAGTTCAAGGAGCAGGTCCTACAAGGTGGAACTGAGGTGGCCATCAGAATGGTGGGCCTCCCCCTTTACCTCACACAGCAGCACCATATACCATGTCATTTAAGCCTCTCAAAAGTTCTGTGGAGTGGAGTGCAGCCATTGGGTTTCCTCTCCAAATGGGGGGGGGGGGCTTTCCCTTTGTTCCTGAGTAGAAAAATATTAGATGCTATTGAAAAGAACTCAGAAAATAAAGTACAAAGAAGAAAATTGAGGTCCTCATGATGCCACCAGCCAGAGATAATCATTGCAAACATTTTTACGTACTGTAGAAGACATCATCGGAAATATTTTTTACAAAATTGACTCATGCTATACCTACAATTCTGTAACCTCCTATCATTTCTTTTTTTTTTTTTTTTTTAAAGATGACCGGTAAGGGGATCTTAACCCTTGACTTGGTGTTGTCAGCACCACGCTCAGCCAGCGAGCGAACCAGCCATCACTTTATGGGATCTGAACCCGGGGCCTTGGTGTTATCAGCACCGCACTCTCCCGAGTGAGCCACAGGCCGGCCCAACCTCCTATCATTTCTAAATAACATATCATGGACCTGTTTCCATGTCAGTGGAGAAACAGCTACATCATTTTTTACGGATGCATTGTATTCTGTCATATAAAATCATAGTTTATTTAACCATTAACTATTAGACATTTTTTGTTATTTTCATTTTATTATTATTATTATTATTATTTTGCTATTATAACCTAGCATCTTTATACATAATACTGGCAAATTCCTAGGAATAAAATTGCTAGGTCAAAGATTATGCATGCTTTAATGGCTAATACAACATATTACAAAAATAGTGCAGCTATTACTGTTTCCAGATGAGGAAACCTGGGCCCAATGAGATGAAAAGAATGAATTACTCAAATCCCAAGTTGAGCAGTAATAGTTACATGTGGGATCTAGGTCTCTAGATGTTTGGTTCAGTAAACTTTCCAGGGTACCACGTTGACTCCCTCCCAAGGATTCCCATGTAAAAATGACAAGGCCAGTGGCCACTATTCGTTGAACACTTTCTTTTTTTTTTTTAAAAGATGACCGGGAAGGGGATCCTAACCCCTGACTTGGTGTTGTCTGCACCATGCCCACCCAGTGAGCCAACCGGCCATCCCCATGTGGGATCCGAACCCTCGGCCTTGGCGTTATCAGCACCACACTCTCCCGAGTGAGCCACAGGGTCGGCCCCTTCGTTGAACACTTTCTAGGTAAGAGGCACTGTGCTGAGGGTCTTCATATACACCATCTCACCGCACTAGTGCACAGCAAAGGCAGGCCTGGCCACCAGAACTGGCCAACTCTGGGGCTTGGCTCTCATTCATTATGCACGACTCCCTTTTTCAAGTAATATCAAAGCAAACAGATTTGTTGCCTAGGGTGAATTCAGTGAAGCAAATCAGAAATCATCCTCCTTCCCAAGATGGCCCATCCCTGCCTTGCAGGTATGAATGGGGGCGCTGATCCCCCTGTAGTGCTCCTGAGCAGGGGTCTTTCCAGGGTGCTGCCTCTTGGCAGGCTGGGACAGGCTAAAAGGGCTGCCATGCCTGAGCTCAGGTCTGGGGAGTGTTTTAGCATGAAAGCAAGCAAGGCTGGGGGGTGGGAGGGATACCAGGTAATCCTCTAACCAGCGATGTGACCTTGGGCAAGCCTCTCCATCTTCTTTGTCTGGACTTCGCAAGGCTGGGCTAATGAATGCGGAAGTATTTTAAGTAGAAAATGGTGGTTGAATGCAAGATATTAGGATTTGTAGTAGAGGGGCACCTTATCAACTCACAGTGATTCTGTGCAATTGAGGATAGGAAAAGGCAGAATTGTAGGGGCAGGTGCCAGGGCGGATGAGGGTACTGTGTTGGCAGGATGTGGTTACCAGATTGGCAATCGCTCAAGGACTAGGCTCTAAAGCTATGTTTCCTACAGGTTGGCACTATCAGATCCTGGTGGAATCATGCCAAGTCTATGACTCCTCAGTGTTGAGCCTGGGAGGCTCCTTAGTAGTCATTCTGCTAAGATGCCTGCTGAGATCCAGAGCCTAGATAGGTGGGGGAGTGGAGAGGGGTCAAAGGAGAGAGGAAAGAATAGCAGTCTGAAAATATCAGTATCTAGTTAAGAGGAGTGATGGTGAGAGAACCAAGGGAAGAAAATAAGGGTCTGAGAAGAAATGGTTGAGGAAAGAGAGCAGGAGAAGAAGCAGAAGAGGGGTATCTGAGGAAGAAAATCTAAGAGAGGTATGTATAAAGCAAGGTCTTGAAGGAGAGAGAGGAGATGGTGCTATGTTAAGAGGAGTCTAGAAAGAGAAATAAGAGAGATTCTAGGGGGAAAGTGGCAGGGATGATAAGACTCTGGGAGAAGGGGTTAGAGTCTAGGGCAGAGAGAGACTTAGAGACATTTCATCCCCACCTTTCCACCAAACCAAGAAGTTCTTGTCATAGTTACCAATGACCCCATGTCACCAAATCCAATGGCTACTCAGTCCTTAATTCCCCTGACCTCCACACAGCATTCAATACCCTCGATAACTCAGTCCTTCTTGAAATGCTCTCTCCTTTTGGCCTCTGCACGCTCCCTGGTTTATCTCCTCTCTCTCTGGCTACTTCTTCATTCGTTCCTCCTCCTCTGCTTGACCCTTAAATACAGGCGTTCCTCAGGAGCCTGACCTAAGTCCTCCTCTCTTCTCACTCTGCATTGCCACTCTGAGAAGTGTCATTTGTCCTCCATGGTTTCAGTTACCCTCTGTAGTATGATGATTTCCAAATCTTCATCTCTAGCCTGGACTTCTCTGAGCTTCAGACCTCTATATACAGGCATCTCCATTTGTTTTTTTTTTTTTTTTTAAAGATGACCGTTAAGGGGCCGGCCTGTGGCTCACTCGGTAGAGTGCGGTGCTGGTAACACCAAGGCCACGGGTTCGGATCCCATATAGGGATGGCCGGTTAGCTCACTGGCTGAGCGTGGTGCTGACAACACCAAGTCAAGGGTTAAGATCCCCTTACCGGTCTTCTTTAAAAAAAACAAACAAACATGAAGCTACATACCAAAAAGAGTGAATTTTATGCATCCTTCCACATTTTGTCACATAGAATATTAAAAAGATATGTATGTAAATTGAAAAGTAAATAAAAGATATTAATTAGAAAATTATTGAGGACTCCAAAGGGCTTTCACTTTTATGAGCTATATCTATTGATATTTAACATACTAAAAATTAAAAGTGATACATTTAAAACTATTATTATTATTTTTTTTTTTCCTTTTTGTCTTTTTTCGTGACCGGCAACGGATTGCAACCCTCAGTGTCGTGCCCATACCGGACCGCGACCGGCAACGGGATCGCAGCCCTCGGTGTTGCGCCCGCACCTCGCTCAGCCAGTGAGCATCCGGTCTGTATGTGGGATCCGAACCCTTGGCTGGAGCGCCGCTGCGCTCCCAAGCGGCGCACTGTAGCAGTGCGCCACCGGGCCGGCCCCTAAAACTATTATTAATTTAAAATCACAATTATAAAACCATTACAGGATAAAATAGACTATATTTATGAAAAGTAATTATATTTTCCAAAGCAAAAATGGCAAGAAAAGTGGCATTGTGTTACATTTTTGCAAATCTCTTTAGTATCTGACTGAATAAAAGGCAGCTGGATTCTCATATCTGCTCTTGCATATAAGCTGTTGAAATATGTTGTTTTGGTTGAAGTATATGAAGAAAATCCAGCCTCACAAAGAAGGTAGTTAGAGGAGAGGGGTATTTAAATAGCCTTTTTGGGTAGAATTCTAAGAATGACTTCCAAATGGCCTTCACCTGTGTATAAATTCCCCTTTGAGAGTGGATGGTTGCAATGAGATACCACCCCCATGATTATGTTATAGGGCAAAGGGAAATTATCCAGGTGGGACTAATCTAATCACTGGAGGCCTTTTTTTGGGAGGAACTAGCAAACGTGGTGATTGTCAGTAAGTTTTGAAATGTGTCATTTACCTTCTCATTCTAAATATTCACTTTTATACCTAAACAAGAAAAAGGGGAGAGGGGGTTCCTAGTGGCAGAAAAGGAAGTCAGAGAGATTCAAAGTGTGAGAAGAATGTGACGTGCCATTGATAGGTTGAAAATGGAGAGGGCCACATGAGAAGGAATGTGTGTAGCCTCCAGGAACAGAGAGCAGCCTTTGGATGACAGCCAGCAAGGCAATGGGGACCTCAGACCCACACCCTGAAGGAAATGGCTTCTGCTAACAACTGAGTAAGCTTGGAAGAGGATTTTCCCCCAGAGGCTCCAGATAAGAGCCCAGCACAGCTGACAACTTGACCTCACCCTCGTGAGACCCTAAGAGGAGAACACAGGTGCACCCACATGGACTTCAGACCTGCATAACCATGAGATAATAAATGAGTGTTGTATTAAGTTGTTAAGTCTGTAGTTAATTTGTTATGGCAGCAATAGAAAACTAATGTATTATGTGGGGATTCTTCTTAATAACTACACCTAAACTTCCAAGTGTTTATTTGCAATGTTGAATCTGAAACCATATCAGTGAAACTTCTATACTGTTATATTAAAATCCATTGGTCTATTTTGCATTTTTAATGAATCTATTATCCATGCATAATTTTGTAACATCATGCATTAGTCATTTGAAAAATATCAGTCTACCTAGTTATGCAGCTCTTCCAATTGTTGGCTCATTTCATAATTACACAAGGTAAAAAAAAGTCATGTTCATTAATATCACTACTAATCTTTTTATTTTTATTTTTTTGCAGCTGGCCTGTACAGGGATCTGAACCCTTGACCTTGGTGTCATAATAACACGCTCTAACCAACTGAGCTAAGTCACTGCTAATCTTATCAAAAAGATCTTTGGGGGTATTGGAAAGCTCTCAAGCTCACAATGGCAGATATAGGTTTTCCAAAATGGTGTTTTTTACTTGAAAGTTTAAATGTTATAATTGACAACAAATACTGTCGATTATTCTCCTTGAGATAACAGGATCACTTTGCTTATTTTCAACAAAATACTGGCCAAATATCCAAGTTTGAATAACCATACGTTGTCTGTCAATTGTTCTTTCAAGTAAAATACAGTGTTCCATGAAAAATTGGCTAGTTTAGCTTGCAATTCAATTGCACAAGTGCTTTTCCTCATGACAACCATTGTACTTCAGTATGCAGTAGAAGTGCTCTATATATCCTTCCTATTTTGTCACAAGATTATTAAAAAGGCATACTCAAAGGGTTGCTATTGGGCTGGCCAGTTAGCTCAATCAGTTAGAGCGCAGCCTTATAACATCAAGGTTTAAGGGTTGAATCCCCGCACTGGCCAGCTGTCAAAAAAAAAAAAAAAAAAGATATTGGATAAAGATGAATAATTTTACTGTTTCATAAGACATTCTTAAGTTAAACTAACACTTCTCCCACCAAGAACACATAGGTGATGAAGAATAACATGAAGACAGTGCAGTGCTGTATTGCTTTTGCTCCTTCAGTGAAAATGTCAACACAGCAAAAAAAGGCAAATAATGTCTTCGTATTATCATGAATGTAGTTTTGCCTGAACCCCCTGAATCTTAGGAGCCCCTGGGGTCTTTGGACCACATTTTTAGCATTGCTGATCTAGGCTGAAGCTGTAAGAGGCCTGGTGAGGGCGGAGATGAAATTTGAATCATGCTTAGAAATGTCATGTCAATAGAGGATGCAGCTGGGAATGAAGAGGAGCAGGGAATTTCTAGGTTCCTTCCCTCAAAGACCTCTGTTGTGTCGCTTCCTACTCCTGACCTGCCTTGTTCCTGAGCCAAGCCAGCAGCTACCCTCTAAAGCTGCTCCCATTCTGGGATCTTGGATGCTCTGTCTTATAAGGCTCTGTCATGGCTGTTTGCCACCCCATCCTGGAGCCCCAAGGTCATGCTGGACTAAATCTGTTAGCCTTCTCAGACCAATCACCCCATGTCAAGCACCATTCCATTCACATGGAATGAGCCCCTGCTGTGTAGCCAGTCCTGTGCCAGGTGCTGATGGGAGAGAGAAGTGACTAAGCCACAGCCCCTCCTCCATCAGCTCAATAGAGAGGCTTGCTTCACACCTATAAAGGTGACTGAAAAGAAAGCTAGCACCAGTGCAAGGGAGGGGAGTTCAGACGAGTGGCCTGTGAAGGGAGGCAGGTGTGAGCATGGCTTGGAGGCTCCCTGGACTAAGCGTGGGTTCAAGGAGGACCTGGAAGGTAGAGGTAGGATCCATGTCATGGGGGAGAGAGAAGTCATTCTAGACTTAGGCCAGGGGTGGAGACGATCGTGTGCAGGGACAGTGTAGTAACAATCCTGCTGGAAGTGAGGGAGAGAGCTGGATGTAGTCAGAGGGGAGGCCGAGTTATAGGGAAAATTTGTGAATGCCTGACTTATTCCGTCAGTCACAGGTTGCCAGTGCAGGTGTGTGAGCAGGATGGAAGCTTGTTTTAGGAAGCCCAATCTGGCCAAGTACACAGAAAACATCTGAAAGTGTGTGGGACAAGGAGAGCTAACACCAGTGTACCTATGGTATTTCATGTCATCCTTACTCCAGCCC